CCTAAGCTTCAAATAGCTTCAAAATTTATTATCATATTTTTACCTAAACTTCAAATAGCTTCAAAATTTATTATCATATTTTTACCTAAACTTCAAATAGCTTCAAAATTTATTATCATATTTTTACCTAAGCTTCAAATAGCTTCAAAATTTATTATCATATTTTTACCTAACCTTCAAATAGCTTCAAAATTTATTATCATATTTTTACCTAAGCTTCAAATAGCTTCAAAATTTATTATCATATTTTTACCTAACCTTCAAATAGCTTCAAAATTTATTATCATATTTTTACCTAACCTTCAAATATATATTACCTAAGCTTCAAATTTTCAAATTATGCATTAGTTTTCACAATTTTTGGAGAGGAAGGGGAGGAAGAGGAGGACGAGGAGAAAGAAATGTCAAAAACTAACAATCAAATAAATTAAATTGAATAGAATAAGAAGAACCATTGTCCATGAATCATTTAGAAAAAGCTTTTTTTTTTTCATTTGAAGTGCCATGTAAGGTGCAAAAGAAAAAAAAAAAAAAAAGAATTTCAATTTGAAATTAAATGTACCAAAAATGGTAGTGGATGCAAATGAATAAATGACAAATGCGACTAATTAACTGTCATAAATGCATTTCTAAATTTATTCAATTTCAAAAATTTTACATTTAAACAAAATTTTTAAATAAATTTCAAAGAAAAAAAAAAAATTTCTTATATAAAAAATTTTTTATATTAGCTTATAAGATTGACTTACTTTAGAAGTGATGTAGACAAACGATTGAAATAAACATTAATCATTAAAATACTTAATGATGAAATTAATCATTAGGAACTAATAGATCAGTCGGGAACAGATCAAATTAGATTTGTTAATATTTATATCTTTAGATCAAATATGTAATTTTCTTTTATCAAAAAAAAAGGGAAAAAAAAACTGATATACTTAATTCTATCCTGTAACTACTTGATTTCAATTCGTTTATTTTTACTTAATCTAATCCATATTACAGTTTTTTTTTTTTTTTTACCTAACTTAACCCATGTTAACTTTATTTTTACCTAACTTAACCCATGTTAACTTTATTTTTACCTAACTTAACCCATGTTAACTTTATTTTTACCTAACTTTACTTATATTCAAGTTATTTTATTTAGCAATGTACAATTATTATTCGTAAATTTTAATCATTCATCCATTTATCCATATTTCAGTTACAATCTACACCAAAAAGTTATTATTATATTATCAGATTTGCTACACTTTGCTAAGATTTAAATTTTCAATAGTACAATTATTTGAAAATTTCATTTCAATTAAAATTTACTAGTAGCAGTTGCAATTATATACATTTTTAACAATATATTTATTATAAGTAATTTATATGATTAAATTTATACTTACTACGATCAGTTTCTACTTATTGTTAAATTAATTTCAACTTAATTTAGTTTAAAAAAAAAAAAAAAAACATATGTGAATAATATTTTACTTATTTTTAATTTGCTATAAATAATTTCACTTATATTTTTAATTTTAATCCATCCATTATATATAACAATGCAATTTATTGTCTATAACAACTAGAATTCATTAAATGACAACATTTTTGGTGACAAAAAAAAAAAAAAAAGTGCTGTCACCAAATACATTAGTAAATATAAGTTGTGTATAGGACGATGAGCTAATCGATTGTCAAAGAGACAGTAGTTGACCTCGCTTATCATTAGATAATCAAATAAAAAAAAAAAGAAACTGAAGAAGTTAAATAAGATGAAAGTAGCATAATCGAAATTGAAAAAAAATTTTAGATCAAAAGGATAAAAAATATTACTCCTAAAAATCATTTTGTATTAAAATGAATTATTAGAATGATTAATTTTGATCGTTTAAATAAATTAATAACTTCAAAAATGTTGAAATAAGATAATAAAAAGAAAATAGATGAAAATTTGATAACATATATTCAAATATATAAAGAGTTGAAAAGACTAAGAAATTTAGCCTTTTATATGAAATGAATCTTAGATGAATTATGAATAATAAATAAATTAGATTATCTTTTAGCTTTTTATAATTTGCTAATGCATACCAATTTCAGTATATTAAAAAATTTTTTGAGTTTATGAATTCCAAATTAATATTCACGTAATCATCCATTTAACATTGTATCATTCACGTAATCATCCACTTAACACTGTATCATTCACGTAATCATTCACGTTGTCAATCACTTAACACTGTATCATTCACGTAATCATTCACTATCATTCACGTTGTCACTCACTTAACACTGTATCATTCACGTAATCATTCACTATCATTCACGTTGTCACTCACTTAACACTGTATCATTCAAGTAATCATTCACTATCATTCACGTTTCACTCACTTAACACTGTATCATTCACGTAATCATCCACTTAACATTGTATCATTCACGTAATCATCCACTTAACACTCTATCATTCACGTTATCATCCACTTAATACTGTATCATTCACGTTGTCACTCACTTAACACTGTATCATTCACGTAATCATCCACTTAACATTGTACTATTCACGTTGTCACTCACTTAACACTGCATCATTCACGTAATCATCCACTTAACATTGTACTATTCACGTCACTCACTTAACACTGTATCATTCACGTAATCATCCACTTAACACTGTATCATTCACGTAATCATCCACTTAACATTGTATTATTCACGTAATCATCCACTTAACACTGTATCATTCACTTAATCATCCACTTAACACTGTATCATTCACGTAATCATCCACTTAACATTGTATCATTCACGTTGTCATCACTTAACACTCTATCATTCACGTAATCATCCACTTAATACTGTATCTTCACGTTATCATCTACTTAACATTCTATCATTCACGTTGTCACTCACTTAACACTGTATCATTCACGCAATCATCCACTTAATATTGTATCTTCACGTTATCATCTACTTAACATTCTATCATTCACGTCACATTTACGTTACTACCCATTCATTATATT